ATCCACTACTTCTGCCCCAGGCTGTACAACACCAGCATTGTTCATGGGTAATTTCCCTCTTCATCATGTTGCTAATAAAATGGATATTTTCTTTAGACTAGAAAACACAATGTCTGGTGCTACTCACTTCCACAGACCCCAAAAAGACGGGTCCTGTCCCTTTAAAAACAACCTTGTTTCTTTAATGCACAGGTGTGTAGACAAGATTTAACATACCATACACCTGGATAGGTCTAATAGATCTATCAAATACCTTGTAGGCCCAAATATAAGATAATTTTGAGTTTCCCTAATGTGATATTTTTTTTATCAAGTATCGTTTTTACTTAATTCACTAAGGGTTTCGTAACCTCAAATTCTTGTCTTCCCTCATGATCAATGCTTGTCTTTTAATACCTCTCTCTTATCATTTCTCTTTTGTAAAGTTATCTAAGTGACAAGTTGGGACTCCTTCTTTGATGATCTCACTTCCTCTGAGGAGCACACTCCTCCATTTATCAGTCAAGTAGAGATTTGTGACCATTATAATGTAACACTTAACTCTATTTCTTTTTTAAAGTCTTCTTTACAAGTCTTGTTTACAACAGCATGTAAACTTGCAATTGTTAGGTCAGAGGCTCTGGAATAATTACCAGGCTGTGTTAAATTCCTTTGCTTTTTTAAAAATTTTAACCGATTCTGCCAGTGACCTCTCTAAGCAATCCAAACTAGCATTGATTGAGGTATTTTCATGGTATTGTGCAGAGCTTTGTTCCAGCTACAGTAATTGAGAAAGTGCTCTGTAATGTGAGATCTTTTATTAGGTATCAAATATGAGATTTGTTTTGGGGGAGGGTCATGCCTTGGAGATTTCAACTTTTCTTCAGATACAAACATGCATTGCTCATTTCTTAAGTGTTACTGTACTAGAATTTAACAAACACATTAAAAAAATAAGCCTTCTTGGCATTGTTTCATGCTGAGGCCAACCCCTATTTTCTGCAGCAGTTCTTCACAGATAGCCCATATTGTAAGCCATTCTGTAACTCAGCTTGCTTTGAATATTTATCTGTTGAGCATTTGCTTTATGTCAGAGATTGTGAAAAATGCTTTTCTTTTAGTTTTCATATTCTATGAGGTGCTCACCAGAATCAATGAGGTAGTGTTTTGATTGTTGTTGTTGTTGAAGGTAAGAAAACCCTAGACAGAAAAATTAAATAACTTACAAATGTCATTTCATGGATCTTTGATTATGTATTTTACTTTTCTTTAAATAAAAGGATGACCCTATATTATTACTCCTGTGTGCTTAACAAGGGAAAATAAAGCATGTTTACAAAAAAACTTTGCACATATGATTATAATCGCTCTTTCCTTGGTATACTGGAAACCACTCAATGCTTTGCCTTACAGAAGTATGAGTATTTGTCAAAACTCATAGCAGCATAGATTAAAATGGGCATGTGTATTATAGAATATACTTCAATTAAGTTATGGAAAAGATAAAAAGGAGACATTATGAATAAAGCTGAGATGTTACAAGCATCAATAAAAGAATGAGTAGTGTGCATTATTAACTTGAGGATTAGAAAGAGGCAATAACCACAAAACGAGGCATATGTGACCTTGGAAATAGAGGACTTGAGGTACACTCATTTCAAATAGCACACACATGATTATAGGTAGGGCCAGAAATGGAAACAAACACAACTCAGCAGGGATTGGAGATTGTGATTTTATATAAGATGATTCCCAAGCACCACAGTCCTCTAACGAAATGAACAGCTCTGCGTAATGACGTCTAGAAAGTTCAGTTCACTTGAAAAAGCATGTGTGAGACCTTTAATTGAGAGAACAGCTGTCCAGGTGCCAGCATTTGAAAGAGTTCATTAAGCTCAAATGCACAGAAAATTTGCCTGAACTATAAGAAGACTTCTGGGCCTCCTTATAAATGAAATGCATGCACTTTGAATTTTTCCCTTGCTATATATTTCTATTTCAATAAATGTTATGAAATTCATGATAAGGCTATAAAATATGGTACTGGTCATAGAAAAAATGCACTGTGTGCAAGTGTGTGTGTGTGTGTGTGTGTGTGTGTGTGTGTGTGTGTGTGTGTGTGCGCGCACGCACATGCATGTATGGAGAGAGAAAGAGAAAGAGAGAGAGAGAGAGAGAGAGAGAGAGAGAGAGAGAGAGAGAGAGAGAGAGAGAAAGTCAAAGTTATCTAAACATGAGGTAACACCTTTCTGTACAATTATCTCTACACCAAGTATGGGCCCAAAGAATATCAAATACAAATATCTTTTGAGAGTGGTAGGCCTATAATATCAAAGTAATATGGCTACTCTACCCATTTACTATATTCACCAATATATGAATAGCCGCTTAAAATTAACCTAGTGAACATCCAATGAACAGTTGCTCCATCAATTCTTCTTGTATTCATCACTGCAATAAACATCCTGTAAGATACAGCCCATGCCTGATCCTAATATACACTTCTGTTCCATGCTATGTTGTGTATTTACCTTTTTAGATTTCTCAGTCTCACTCGATTGTTCTCACTGTTCCTATATTTCATCAGGTACCCACAGTTTGTGACCTGGCTTAATGCAATAGCTATCTAAATCATCACTCTGTAATTAGCTTCTCTTTCTTGTGAAAGGATGAATTTTAGCAAAATATTTAAGATCTCATGAAATTCAATTCTTTCTTGCTTGCCTCCAAATATGACCCCATCTCATAGCTTTCTCTTTATACTGTGCTTCAGAAATTGTCAATCATTTGAAATTCTTTCTGTGGGTTCTTGTTTGATTTATTGTCTTGCTACATCTACTTTGATCTCTTTTTGATACCTTGCTTTTAATCTGAAATCTTCACCATAAAAGTGTTGAACAAAAGAAACTAAATACATAGACACATGGAGTGTATGTGTGTGCGTGTGTGTGTGTGTGCAAGTGCCTGTGTGTCTATGAAGTATCCTCAGAACAGTGATAAATCTCCTTTTCATTAGAAGAGAAGCACCATACCGTTGGTTGCCAGGATAAACCTTTAGTGATACAAGTATCCATTCTGGGTACATGTTGCTTTCCTGGTAGGGCATGGATGCAATTTTTCCCACATGAACTAGCCACAGTCTTGATTTCTAATTTACCATTTGCTGGTGACTTCATTTGGAGACTAGGACTTCTACACATTGAAGAGTGCTGCTTTTTAAGGATGAGGCAAACATAATCTCCCAGTGGGCCATTGGGGATGTTAATAAACAGAGCAGGTGAAGAACACATTAGAGCTCACTTACAGAATGGGGTCAGAGGTCATCTGATGACTCATATAGTATGGATCACATTAGTTTTCCCCACAACATTATCAGAGTTTATTTCTGTCTGTCAGTCTTCTGTTGCTTTTGCTGTCCAAATACTAAATGATCAATATAATAGGTTAAAGTGACATTTTCTGAAATATTCATATATCTTCAGACAATAACGCTACAAAAATGGAGATGTTTAATTTATGTTTAAAACAAAAATGTATATTGTGGCAATTTTCAGTCCATTCCTTATGACTGGTTTTCCTTCCATAACATGTTACTATTATATATAGTAAAAGGGTTTATTAACTAAGTCAATGGTCAAATACCACAATACCTTACTGATCTGCTCTTCTTGTAAATTCTGTGCCCTGAACAGTAGTTGGGGTTGCTCATGGTTTCATTGTTCATGGTTGTGCTTCAAGAGCCATTCAGTTTGTACAGAAGCCACAGTGGTCAATCAAGGTTCTCTGAGACTGGTATTCATCTCCATAGCCTACATCTTCTCACCTGATTAACAAAAAAAGAAAAGTGTTTTGATTTCACATCCTTGAGTCTTACACTTGGCATTCTCCACTACTAAAGCCTGTTTTGTTTTGTTTTTCACATATCTAAACCATAACATGTCATATTGGATCTTCTCAGAGGGAATCCCATTATACATCAGAGGACAGTGGAAATGGCCACTGGGTGGGGCCAAATATCAGGGATTCAATGCCTAATGTAAGTGAAATTTTGGTCAAGGTTCTACCTATTATTTTATTTCAAATGATTTCACTCTCAAAAAGAGTACCAATGTGTGTGTGTGTGTGTGTGTGTGTGTGTGTGTGTGTGTGTGTGTGTGTGTGGTGTGTGTGTGTTTCTCAGCATTAAGGTCTAGCTGGAGCCTTTTCCATTTGTACTGAAATATCTAAGCAGATCAATCAGCCCAGGTCACTAGAACATATACTTGTAAAGTTTTGTACAGGAATTTTTACAGCACATATTTGTCATCTTGTTACATGATCTTACATTCTTGGAATCTAGACATTTATTCAATTGGTGTGTGGCAAGTAAAATAATTTGTTCTGGAATTCAAGCAAGGGATTATGAGCTTTTGCCAAGGGACCATCTGTGTTTTGTCATTAAGAGTCATCAAGTGGTCATATCACTATGTCCCTTCTACTATTATTGGAATAAATAAGTCAGCTTTTGTTTCTATCTCTATTTCCATTAGTCCTAGACTTCAGGGAGACTCACCATTAGTTTATATTTCTGCCACTCAAGTCAATTCCTAACAGCCTAGGTCAATGGTGTGTACCTAAGAAATAAATTACTTTAATAAGCATTTCTTTTGTCATTATTTAAGTTTAGTTATTCCATCTTCTTTCTTAGTATCTACAAAGATCTGGGGATATCCTGTGGGTAGAAAATAAAATACACAAGCAACCACTTTTTATAACTTATTTCATAGCATTTCAAATCCCTCTTCTACCATCTGCTATAAAATACAGACATTTCAAACTTTCCTATGTGGGTATCACTTTTTTCAACGATATAGAAGCCATGGTAACAAGTCTGTAACATCTGCTAAGGTTCTTAGACGTTTCTGATTTCTGAATGCTGCCCTTCCCAGATTTATGCCTCTTTTATCCAGTCTTATTCCCCTAAGTCTTCAGTTTGATCTGATATTCTGACAGTCAAGTCGTATTGATTCTCCACAGATCCTTTCTGGTATTCAGCATTTAGGTTTTGGAACTTCTTGGGCTACGGTCTCATCACTTGCATAGGAGTCTCCACACACCTGCAGTTGCAGTTGTGCTAATAATGGCTCTGAATAAAAGTGTATTGGTGGAGACATCCATCAATTTTGAATGAAGGTAGGACCTGCTTTTCTTATCCTAGGGAATAAGAAATCTGTATTATCTTTCTACAGTTACAGCATGGGTCCTTAGGAAAGGTCAGGGAAGAGGTTCTTGCATAGGCTTAAAAGCTAGAGGAGCCTGAACTGATGAATTTCTTGAAGCATGGCTCTCAGTTATCCCAATCCCATATGTCAGGTCCCAAGCTATCCAAAATATGTATTGAGGGGGCTGATTTTGTTGCGCATTCACCCTCTTTGATGTGCAGCCACCTTGAATCTTCAACACAGAACCTGCTCTTCACGTTTATCTGCTTTCCCATGTATGGCACGAGGGATTCTTCATAAGCTATTAGAGACAGAGGGGGAAGGAGAAGGGAGTGGAGAGCCTCTGCCTCTTACAAGTCAGCTTTCCATTGTTTTAACTTGTTGTTTGTTTGTTTGTTTGTTTTACATGCTGTGAGCTTATAACACAGGATGCTATGGTTTGAGTCTGGAATGTGCCACAAAGTTTTATGATTGATCACTTGGTCCCCAGCTGTTAGTTATGTTTTCAGAGGATGTAGAGTCTTTGAAATGTAGGGCATAGCTCCCAGATGTAGGTCACCTGGGATAGGCCTTGAGAGTTAAAACATGGCCCCATTTCTAGCTCCTCTCATCTTTGTACTCAATACTGAGTTGTGAACCAGTTCACCCCAAGTGTCTGGAATCATGGATTTGGTACTGTACTGGACATGTCCTCTCCAATATCAAACCATGATCCAAAATGAGACAATGCTTATGTTTTGTAAAGTTTTATGTTTTGAGTGTTTATGTAAAGAAATGGGAAAAGTAATTAATACAGGGGCATAATACCACTCAGTGACAACCACTCAGTTCTGTTCTCTTGGTATTTATCACACCTCACATAGAATCACATTGGCTATTTTATTGTATCATATCATGGAATAGTCTCCTAATTAATCATGAGAAAGATTTTCAAAACTGCAGAGTTACCTTGTTCCAGAAGTTGAGTGGACCCCATGAGATATGGAATGGCCCAGTACCAACACCTCATGTTAACCTCTTCTTTGTCTTCTAAACTACCACAGGTCAGGTTATCATGAAGAAAATTTATCTAGTAGGGAAAGGTTATTTAAGAACACTAAATGAATAAGGTATTTTTTTGGAAAAGACAACGATGAGATTGGATGAAAATAAAATAAAGTTTATTATGGGACAAGGGATTCACAGAAAAAAAGAGAATAGCTGATCCTACAGCCCTGTGTTGAGCAAAAACTAGCTAAACTTCCACGGCCACCTTTCCTAGCCACATTGGAGGCTAATGCAAGACCGCACAGAGACTGCCAGTACATTATCAACTACTATCCGTGGGAGACTAGAACAGCATTTTACATAAAAGAAGGGAAAATCATGGAAGAATTAACATAGAATGGCTCTAATTTTCCCATACCTCTTTCTTTAGTTTGTCATGAAGTAGGCAACTGTATAGATGTTAGAAACATTGTTTTAGGGACCTAGAGTTCTCTTTGTGCCCTTCTTCCCCTTCTGTGAATCCATTTCTCTGTCATATAGAAAGAGATTTCTTGTCAGGCCTTCAACATCTTCTACACCGCTCCTCATAAGACACATAGCAAACAGTTTATATCTCATCCACTGTCCCGTAATACCCAGATCAATCATCAAACTGTAGTATTAAAATTCCTTATTTCTATAATATCATCCTAAGAGTGAAGGGCCTCATTCCATGGAAACCAGATGATTCTTTTCTCCTGCAAGTATACTTTCAAATAAATCTAATTGTGTGGAATCAGAAAGTCTCTAGCGGCAGCAGAACTGAAGAAAGATTTTAAAACAAAGGCATAGTAACAATGTCTTTAATTCCAAATAATTCATTAAGCCAGATATTACCTAAAATAGCAAGATAACTCATGGGTTAAACAAGTTCTATAACATAACACTTTGTGATTCTGCTACTTTCTTGTTATAGGACTATGGAAATCACTTAGCTTCTTAAGAAAATTTTTTCCTCATTTTAAAAGACACTATAAGCCCAGTTCCATAAATATTCCTTCTATTCTCCAAATCCCACTACTCTTCTCCCGAGATGCTAAAGAACTTTGAGAAATTTTGAGGAATGTGAAGCCTCTGAAACAATAGGAATTGAATGGGTTTCCTATGTACAGTGCCCAGCTTCCTATTTTACTCCCTGTTAGTTATATATTGCAGAGAATTTGTATTCATTTTGTTTCTGCTCATAGACAAGAAAGTAACAAACCTCTATGTAAAAAAAAACTTAACTTCTTCAACATTACTTATCATTAGGATTCAAAGCAAAGCAATTTTTCTGCCAAGATTTCTCTTTTGTTATCTTGTATTTCCATTCCTCTGGTACAGAAATGGGGCAGTGTTTAGGGTTGCCCCTTTGCATGGAGTATTAAATCATGGGCCATTTTTTCCCAATATATTTGCACACAAAGGGCTAATGGAAAGGTTAAGATCCATTTTGATAGTATCACTTGGGTAATCAAAGAAGTAATTACAAAACTACTGTTGGAAGAGAGACAGTGTGAGTCACTCTTAGAAAGCTTTTGATTTATTTGCTTTTTTTTCTGTAAAAGCAGATTTGGCAAGGGTCCATGATTAATTTAACATTTACTCAACATTGCAATGAAGGCAGACCTCTTTTATTATAGAGAAGTTATTATAATCAAGTTGATAACTGATTGCATATTTAAACATGTGATTATATCATAATTCATATGCTGAATATATGAATTGGTAATTAAGGACAATTCTAATGCTTAAGGAATCACATATATACATTAGTAATTTTTTTTTGGTTTGGTTTCAAATCTTCCTCATGATTCTCTTCTCATTTTGTTAAAGTCCAGAGAATGATTAGATTGGAAAAGGGCAAAGAAAATTCTGTATCTGGCAATTTTCACAGTGTTTTCTATGGGATCTTAAGGTCCTACCATGCAGCAAAAGTGACTCAGATAGACCACAGTAAGAGAAGGGAAACCAGGACTGGAAGTTAGTTGCAGGTCATCTTGACCTGCATAATTTTCACCGGAACCCCTATAGAATTGAAAACCTAGATGGAGTAGTAAAGAAGTTCAATTTTTTTTTCTAATTCGTGTTTTTAAATACAAAGACATTGTTGTCAATGGTCCTCTGTGTGCTCCTCCCATCTCTACATGAGTCTCTAGGATGGTAGAAACTTGTCTACTTTTGAAGCATCTATTATGTTTTGATTAGTCTTGGAATTTTCTTTTCTGATTTGGACAAAGCTATGTACACTATAAGAAACTTTCTGCATGGAGAGAGTTGTTCAGGGTCATTTACAAAGACTTAGTTACATGTGGAACAGTCTGTGTTCCCCATATTACTAAGCAGAGATGGAGTATACTAGTTGGTCTTTTATAATGAAATGTCTGAGGCACCAAGCAATATAAAGAGAAGTTTATTTAGGTGACAATTTCAAAGGCTGAACATTCAAACAGCATATTGCAGGCTTTAACAAAGCCACTATAGGTCAGTAAATATATGGCTAGGCACATCATATTTTAAACCAAGATGCAAATTATCCACATAGATTTCAGGCTTAGGATCTTATAGCAACAGTCTCTTATGATAACTCAAACTAACTGGCCAGCATCAACATCAGTGATTCAAAAGGTACTCACTAAAATGCTTCCCTCAAGCCAGGCAGTGGTGGCGCACACCTTTAATCCCAGCACTCGGGAGGCAGAGGCAGGCGGATCTCTGTGAGGCCAGCCTGGTCTACAAAGCGAGTTCCAGGAAAGGCGCAAAGTTACACAAAGAAACCCTGTCTCAAAGAACCAAAAAATAAATTTAAAAAATTAAAAAATAAATTGCTTCCCTCAAAGATGACATTAGTTCCTTCTATAGACATTCTGCGGTCCAATCTCAACACAAACGCTTGGGTTCCTATTCAACATCTAAACCATAACATAGGATTTGTGTTCCATACCATTTGTGAGGGCATGATATTAGAATTAATGCTGTGAGAAGATGAGAAAAGTTTGGAAGAGGCACAAGTCCTGCTGTGCTGTGCATACAAAATTTATTTCAAATAAGTTTCTGAAACTAAATGGAGCAATCTTATTGCAGAAAATGCCTCAGAAACCAGTTCTAGATATTTGTCTTAATTTTCACTAGTATTCTATACTTGTGACAGAGTTTGGGAATAATCTTTTGCTTCTCTTGAGAGATTTGATTCATCTCAGGCTGTTACAGGTCTAATGTCCAGAAGAGCAGAAAAGGAGCATCAGAAAGAAATGATTATCATCTTTCAGCTGCCAAGTCTCTGAATTACCTTTAAGCAAGAGAAATGTGAGAGAGTTTGCAATGTCTGGTCAACAGGTGAAGGTTTAGAGGATTCATCTACTGGCCCAATACCTAGCTCATTAATGAGGAGTCAGCATAGAATGACAACTGAAATTATGAATGAATGATGTGCATATTAAGGAATAACAACATGCCAAGGAGTTATATAACAAATAATATGAAATATTTTCTTTAATAAATATGTTTTGAAAGATTTTATTTAAATAAAACATGAATACATCATTCTTCTCTCTCTCTCTCTCTCTCTCTCTCTCTCTCTCTCTCTCTCTCTCTCTCTCTCTCTCTCTCTCTCCCCTCCCTCCTATCCTCCCATGTCAACACCCTCACCCCAAATCCATGGCCTCCTCTTTTTTAACCATTGTTGTTACATATACATACAGTGAAATCAGTATACAAACATAACATCCTGAGTCCTACAGTGGTGATGTCTGCATTGATTTTTCTTGAGAATTATAGGAAAAGTCAATACGTCCCCTATTAGAACTAGACTACAGAGTTTGAGTGTGATCAACAGAACAGATATCCCAATTTATACAAGGTAGCCTGCTTCCTGAGGCCTTTCTACTGGTGGATAGATATCCTGGTGATGTGGACTTACCCATGTTGTATTCTGTGCAGTGCTTAAAATTATTTCTTAGAGAGGCC